ATCCTAACATATAAAGGACGCACAGTTTAAAATAGAAAAAGTCGTCGGGACGGCACAACTGGACGCGCAAACAATAGCGTTTATTTGTAGCCGGCACAGAAAAAGTGACGCCACGTCCGCTCCCGTCCGCTGCGGGGTGCGTACTGGAGAGAATCAAAGACTAGTGCGGCACGCAAGCGCCACTCGATAATCTATATCGAGTCGATAGATAACAGGTATATATTTTTAACATTACTGTCGATTTGGACTGACCTGATATTTGCTAACACATTGGTGGTTCGGTTTTCAACTAGTATGTATGGGGTGTCAAGTGTTAATACAGTCACTGCTTTAATAAGCCAGTTACTGGCGTATCGCTTTTAGTAAACATAACTGACAATATTAGTACCTTAATCCCTTCATGATAGTAAATTCTATAATGGCGTTAGGTAGCTAATAAAACCGATATCAGAACACACTTTTCAAAGTATTAAGCAAATATTGCAAGGAAGCGATAAATAGTAGATCGCAACAAGTGTTTGTTCAGTGCTACAGAATATAATGGTACACTCTGATAACTCTTCAAAATTAGTTTCATTTTCATGTCATTGGATTTTATTTTAAGTATTCGAATTATAAGATTTTAATTTTACTAGTATACTATGGAAAAGGAGGAGGAAAACAGCATTTTTAAATTAATCGCAATAAAAAAATGAACTATCGTTGCACACTGCACATCACTAGTTACCCCATTAGGGGCGGCTGAACACCCCTACCGCATGCCTACGCTCACAAGCACGCGGATGCACACACGCGCCTTCATGCAATATACAGGGGGTTCATGAATCATGATGCTTTAACAGATAGTGCAAACTAAAACAGGATGGCTACGAACTTTTAACAAGTATCGATCGATTCAGGCGTCTACGTGCATACTGCAGAAAAATTACATGTGCGAAATTTGAGACTTTTAAAATTATAATTAACTGGTTTTCGCCCGCGACTCCGTCCGCGCGGAAGAAATTAAACAAAAGTGAGTAACCTATGTGTGCTTCCAAACTATCCCCTACATCTATGCCAAATTTCATTGAGATCTCTTAAGCCGTTTAGGCTACAAACTCTAACAAACGTCCATCCATCCAACAATCAAAACTTTCGCAATTATAATATTAGTAAGATTGACTTATTCAATAGTCAACTACGCAGTCCTGTAGACTATACTATACGACTCTTTTAGTGACTATTTCTCGATTCTGAGTACCAATTAGAAACCTTGATAAATGAAAAAATATGATAAATTTGGACATAAGTCACATGAAACTATCCTTATAAATAATTTATGTAAAAACAAGTACAAAACACAAGGTCGAGTTGATCAATAGAATGGGCGCCGTGATGTCTGACACATAACCCTGGGAATGCAAAATGCTTGGCAAACGACACCAGTTGGCAAAACTTTAGACCCAGTGGACTCACTTTGTGTATGGATGGTTTATTTTAAACAGAGGAAACCAGCTGAAATAGCTACCTTTCGATCCTTTTGTTATAGTTTGTATATACACTAGCTTTCGCACGCGACTCCGTCCGCGTGGGATCTAAAACCAAAAGTGAATAGCCTATATGTTCTTCTAAACTATCCTCTACAACTATGCCAAATTTCATCGAAACCAATTCAGCCGTTTAGGCTACAAACTCTAACAAAAATCCATTCATCCATCCATCTAACCTTTCGCATTTATAATATTAGTATGAAGAATGATATATTTATCTTTGTGAAAACAAAAAAAAACTCTTTCTGTTCTATACTAAACTTGTTACACTTTTGTCAATATCTAGATATAGATACAAAAAAGGTAAAAATTGCTTTAATTTACAATATCTA